GTTTTTTCATGCACCTGTCAAGTTTGAGATTTTGTTTTTTTTGGTTTTTCATAAAGTGTTTTTTCAGACTAGTGGAAAGAAAACATCCAAAAGACACTGTTAAGTGCTTATTTTATAGCACTTTATCTATTTGTGTCAATAGATTTCAATTACAATACATATTTTTAAAGGCCGTTTTCTCAAAATGAGTTTTTTCTCCTACACTGAGCCATAAATCTCCACTTCAGTAGCACTTACACACACCAAACTTTACATTTTTATTCCTGTCTATATTCTGAAGGTTTTTACAGAGGGATTTGTTCATATATAATTTGCTTGATTGTTTACAACATTTTTATTCCCCCCAAAATTGTGAAAATATATTGTTTTCTGGCTGTTCAAATATTTTTCTGAATTATGGAGTGACAAAAAGTGATACCCAAAATTCCCTCTGTAAAAACATTTGACTCTAATATGTCAAAAAAATTAAACAAGAATTTTGAAACTGACTTCATTCAGTGTTCAGATTTTTGTACTAGAAATGTATGCAAATTAGCGCATACTTCATTAAATAATGCATCATTTGCATATTTAAACATACCATTTTAGAAAACTTGTAATACAAAAAATGTTTGCTATTATCAATGTAATCAATCAGCTGGGTAAGTAAGGTGATAACTATTAGTTAATATTTTTACCCTATTCACGTGCAGTGTCTCGCCTAAAAGTGAATTTGTTCACAATGTTAAATTGTACAGAATAATCTGATCTGTGTGTTTCTTCACAGGTCTGCTGGTGTGTTAAACTACAGAGAGTTTAAGAGGTACGACACTCTTATTCAGCATTTAATGTGTATAGTGAATATAATCATTCGACATGGGCATTTGGAGCTAATTTATCTTTTATTTTGTAGTTTTCTGAAGTGGAATTTCGTCTGTTTTACCCGACCAACAACACTTTTGTTCCTTTTCAAAAGCCAATGACAAAATTTGCAATGTTTTCAGGATGACTTTGCTTTTGTTTTGATAATTAAGTCTTGTAAATAAAATCTTAAATCTTAATTCTATATGTTTACTTTGAGTGGCTTCATTCTTTGACTCTGGGCTTTTATACACATAATGATGTAAAATCGCAAAATCGTGAAAGTCAAAAAACAGGAAAAAGAAATATTATGAACTACTATAATTTACATTAACTGTTTTATATGAGAATATATTTTAAAATGTAAGTCATGCTAACCTGATTGTATGCATTAGTTCAAATATTGTAAAGCTTGGTGTTATAAAAATGTAATGTGAAATGACGTGAATAATCTTTATGTTTCCTGTGTCTTTATTGACTGGACTGGATGCTTGTTTACCTTAAGTATGATATATGTAAATGCTTATTTGTTTTTTTTGTTTTTTGTGTGTGGTGTTAATAATCAAATTGTAAGTTTATGTTTTAAGGGTTTATTAACATATTTCAATGTCAATAAATAGGCCTACTGTATTTGACATAAAACTTATGTAATGCTCTGTGCTGTAGTAAGTCTTTTGGTTATTTGTATTTAAAGTCTTCATTGTCTTGCTAAGGTCTGTTTTCTCACAGCTGTGGGTTAGTTGGCTTAAACTCTGGTCTGGTTCAAGTTTGTGTACAAAGTCACACATTGTGAAAAACATCAGCGCATGGGCCTCTGATTTCTTCATCTTCACATATTTTTCACTTTATCACTATAAAGTGTTTTTGCTGGTTTCCTATTTTTCTATTCTGATTTCTGCTCAGATTAGTCTTAACTCTCTTACTGCATATCATTTGAAAAACCACAGAATGAGGACGGAGCAGCTTTTAGTCTTTGGTAAGTTACTCGGGTTTTCTGATTTGAAAGATTTTTCTGATTTTAATCATTTTGTCATGTCAATGTGAATCGGTTTACATTGTTACATTCTACAGAATAATCTGAATGATCTGTGTGTTTCTTCACAGGTCTGCTGGTGTGTCAAACTACAGAGTGTTTAACCAATAAACTGGTGAATATAGGGGCAAATGTGACTTTATACTGTCAGATTGGTGTAAAACACATTTATTGGGTTTTCCAGAAACTGACTGCTGATACTGCAAACTTTAATGGCATATTCTACAGCATCTTTTTTATTTGATGATAGATTAAAAGACAAATATTCATCACTAACTTGGTGTCATTTATTTATTAGTAATGTAACTGTTGATGAACTAGGAATATATTATAGTGTAAAAACAGGCAGCACTCTACAGCTCAGCGATGGCACCAGACTTTACAACACTGGTAAGTGTGTATAAAATCATTTTATATGCTATTGTTTTGTGTTCATTTTTGTGCCAATATATAAATTTGTATTACAGGTGCATCTCAATAAATTAGAATGTCGTGGAAAAGTTCATTTATTTCAGTAATTCAACTCAAATTGTGAAACTCGTGTATTAAATAAATTCAATGCACACAGACTGAAGTAGTTTAAGTCTTTCTTTGGTCAAATCTGGTAAAGATATGGGTTTTAGAAATTAAATGTAGCCAAATTTGAGGTGATGTCAATCGATTACTTCGAATCTTTGATCATCCTGTAAGTCCAGAAGGACAAACTTAACACAAGAAATATTCAATAATTTATTTTTGTAATTACATACTTACCAGCATTTTGTATGATTCATACAGTCAAAAGATTCACAGGTCCAAGAAGAATAGGATTCTGAGAAATCAATCTCGCATCACAGCTGACAATGTTTTGTCTTGGTTCTTGGTTATACAAATGTCAAGGGATTAATTCATTTTATGACTTTGCAAACATTCTTAGATGAACCTCCCACTGAGACGACTTTGAATGAACATTCTATTACTGAAAGAATGCTTGTCCATAACTGTAAAAGAACATTGCCAGAATGTTCTCTACTATTTAGGTTGTTTTCAGTATCCATGTTCCAGAGTCCGTATAAAATAGCAATGGTGGCTAAAAAGACTATGGCATACTTGTACAGAACATACATGTCTAAAACCCACACTTGCTAACTTGAAACTAGGTCAGCAAAACCACATGCTGGTGCTGTCAGAAAACACCCAGACATACTAGCTATACTAGCAAGTTTGGCCAGAAGTTTTGTTAAAAAAAAATCAGCTTCAAAATTCTATTTAGTTTAGGTGCCAATATAGCAATTTAATTAATTGAAAATAAAACCTTTTGGCAGCTGAAATTACTTAACCAAAACAAACACTTTATCTCATGCACTTTGACCTTCTTAAATGCTTTAATAACAGTAAACAGTCAGGTCAGAGCAAGTTCAACGTCTACATCCTCTTTTCAAGGGTGTCTGGTGGTTTCCTTCTAATTTGTTTCTGCGCATCTGTGTAGCACTTCCTCACAGATTCGTAGTTAAGTTAACCATCTTTACTGCATGTGAGTAAAACAATCACAGAATGAGGACGGCGCAACTTTTACTCTTCTGTAAGTTACTCAGTGTAATTTCTGTGTGATCTTCACATGACTGAATAGTTTTCAAGGTTGAAAGAGTTATGTGTTTTACCATATGCGTTTTATCTTCACAGTTCTACTGGTGTGTCAAACTACAGAGCGTTTAACTGATAAACTGGTGAATTTAGGGCAAAACGTGACTTTAGACTGTCAGATTGGTGTAAAAGAAATGTATTGGGTTTTCCAGAAACTCTCAGATTCTCCAGTGCCGATACTGCGAACTTTCACATCAGACTCTACATCATCTAATGCACAAGACCAAAGACTGAAAGACAAATATTCATCACTAACTTTGAGCCGTTTATTTATTAGTAACGTAACTATCAATGAATTAGGAATATATTATTGTGTAAAAACAGGCTCATTTCTACAGCTCAGTGAGGGCATCAGACTTTACATCACTGGTAAGTTATTTCTAAATCAACTGCAATTAACACATCAAATTTGCTGTTGTATATACTAATTATATTATAAATGATCTAAAAACGAATTATTATCTGTGTTACTGCAATATATACTTTTACCCTTATCAGAGGTGTTTAATCATTTATTGGCAATAAAAATGCAAAACTTATACAATTATTCTGTTTAAACAGAATCTATCCAAGATCAAAATCAAACAGAATACAACAATCATACACAATCACAATGTGAAACAACTCCCAAGATTCACAAGATTCTGACTGTTACATCCTTCCTATTCAACATTTTGCTGATCATTGCAATAGGTGAGATTTCTAAGATACAATCAAGTTGAAAATACATAAAATAATAATAATAATAAATAAATTAACATGAGCATATGTTCAAATGAATCTCCTCAGTGTCATTTAAATTTAAAAGTTTAGTGTATTCCTTTATGAAGAGTTTCTCTGAAATGCACTAATGCATTGTTTCATTATGCACGTGTATTATATTCATTCCATGATGATAACTTAACCAAAATATAATGTGCTACTTTAGGTCTGTTAATGTTCAAACTTAAGAAGCCAAGAAAAAGTCGACATCAACCCCAGAATGTCGAAACAGTACCACTTGAGGACTTAAACACTGCACAGGTAAGACTTAAATTGCTATACGATTCAGTTGCCATTTTAGTTCATAGTACAAAGTGTTTCCAAAATTTCCAGGCAACAGCTAAAATGTCTCATCAAGTTATTCTAGTGTTAGCGGAAGGTGTTTAGAAACTCGTTACTTGTGAAATGATGATGATGGAGATCATTCTTCAGATTTCACAGCTCATGACGATTTGTGAAACATCTTAAGCAACTAAAACACATAGTTAGCTGAAATAACTCTACTAGATGTTCTAAAAATTCCCAAATGTTTTACAAAATTAACCAAACGTGTTCACATGTGTGGTGAAGATGTTTATAAAGTGGCTAATTTCATTGTTATTGTTCTCGTAGTATTCTGAAATCGAGTTGCCCACATATTCCAGAAGAGAAAATCCCATTCAGATAAACGGCACTTATGTACTTCTTCAGAAGCCAAAGCCGCATCCTAGATCAACACAAGCAGAAATCATCACATCTTGCAACCTACAAAGTTATAATGAGGTAGTCTGACACCTTCTGTGGGTGTATCCTTTTCGGTAGGATTAAGTTTTATAACGGTCAATGTGTTTCCGTCACTGTTTGAATGAAATCATGTTATTTACTTATTTATAAAATACATAATTTGGATGTGTGTTGCTACCAAGTACGTCAGACATGTTAACAGATCAATCTTGATTAATGTGGTTACAGTTTACAGTAAGGTTCAATGCATTAACATTAAATTACAATGGACAATACTTATTAATCCTGGTTAATGTTAATTCATGTTAACAAACATTATTATGAAGTATATTATTTATGTTTGATTGTATTGATTTTATTTTATGTGGTTAACCATGCTGGTTTAGGATGATTTAGTTGGTCCCCAGACTGGCCAAGCTGGTGTTTAGCTGGTCTCCCAAATCTGACCAGCTGACAAGTACCCAAAACGCATCAAAAACCATCAAATTAGGTCAGAAAACCACTTTTCCCTAGTGGACGTTCTTGAATCAAAGTGCAAAAACATTAATTATGGTACAACGTCGAACAAAAAGTACAAGATAGCAAGAAAAAAACATGGTCTAGAGATGTGTTGTGCAACACTGACTGAAGTTTTGCCATGCTTCATGTGAACAGATTGGTAAAAGTGCTACTTCCTGTTTCTGAAAAAAACAACAGCAAAATGTCTACATTAGGTCAAAAACTAAAAGGTCTAGGGTTCAATATGGTTTCAGAAAAAACATCAGGCAAGTGTTTTAAACTTTCTGAACATTGTTTTCCTCAGTAACGTGTTGTAGCATGCACGTGTGACTCATAAAGACATTAAAACTTGTTTTAAGAGATGAATGGAGTTTTTGAAGTTTTGCCATGCTTCATGTGAACAGATTGGTAAAAGAGCTACTTCCTGTTTCTGAAAAAAACAACAACAGCAAAATGTCTACATTAGGTCAAAAACTAAAAGGTCTAGGGTTCAATATGGTTTCAGAAAAAACATCAGGCAAGTGTTTTAAACTTTCTGAACATTGTTTTCCTCAGTAAAGTGTTGTAGCATGCACGTGTGACTCATAAAGACATTAAAACTTGTTTTAAGAGATGAATGGAGTTTTTTTTCTTATTTGGGTTGCACTTACATTTGTACATTTTATATGATAACACAATGTTTCATAGGAATTAACAACATCTATACACAACCAGGGCCGTAACCACCATAGACACTGAGGAAAACAAGTCCGTTAGGATGTTACATATATGTATCCATGAAAACTTTCAGTTACATTTTTTAGGCTATTTTTTTTACTGCTCAGCGTCTAACCGCGCTCGTCAAAATGATTGATATGACTCTTGACCAATCAAATTAAAGTAGGCGGGGTTTACTCTTCACAGAAGCAGTGCGGGAATTCCAGCGCGGTATTTCGGTTTTTAACGGTGAAAGAGAGCAAGGTAAGATGGAAATAGCAAAACATTTAATATTTCACAACTGTTTATGATAGAAATGTTAAACGACCGACAGTAATATCCAGCACTGCAAACTACTCGACTTTTCCCCCAGATATGACTGTTTTGGTATCATTTACATGATTCATAGAATTTCTAAATGAACGTGAAGAGATAAGAAACGATTTGCGTTTTCGCCGTATTAGGCATACAAATGAGTGAATGTGTACATATTTTAAAATGTTATTTGTAATTAGTTCAAAATAATTACTTCCCTACTAGAATTAGATTTATTAGATCTATTTCCTTAACTGTTCTATTTTAAACTTTCTGAACATTGTTTTCCTCAGTAACGTGTTGTAGCATGCACGTGTGACTCATAAAGACATTAAAACTTGTTTTAAGAGATGAATGGAGTTTTCTTTCTTATTTGGGTTGCACTTACATTTGTACATTTTATATGATAACACAATGTTTCATAGGAATTAACAACATCTATACACAACCAGGGCCGTAACCACCATAGACACTGAGGAAAACAAGTCCGTTAGGATGTTACATATATGTATCCATGAAAACTTTCAGTTACATTTTTTAGGCTATTTTTTTTACTGCTCAGCGTCTAACCGCGCTCGTCAAAATGATTGATATGACTCTTGACCAATCAAATTAAAGTAGGCGGGGTTTACTCTTCACAGAAGCAGTGCGGGAATTCCAGCGCGGTATTTCGGTTTTTAACGGTGAAAGAGAGCAAGGTAAGATGGAAATAGCAAAACATTTAATATTTCACAACTGTTTATGATAGAAATGTTAAACGACCGACAGTAATATCCAGCACTGCAAACTACTCGACTTTTCCCCCAGATATGACTGTTTTGGTATCATTTACATGATTCATAGAATTTCTAAATGAACGTGAAGAGATAAGAAACGATTTGCGTTTTCGCCGTATTAGGCATACAAATGAGTGAATGTGTACATATTTTAAAATGTTATTTGTAATTAGTTCAAAATAATTACTTCCCTACTAGAATTAGATTTATTAGATCTATTTCCTTAACTGTTCTATTTCTACATCTAGGCTACTTTATTAAAAACAGTCTCCCCAATGTTTAATAAATGGTTACAACCTTGTACACAACAAACAGTCACACTTAAAAGGTCTAATTTTCTACTATATATTTATATTAAATGAAAATGACATTTATTTAATTAAACAAATTTACATGGGAATGGAGCAATTACACCATATCCAGTATTCGGGAAGGAAAACAGCACAATGAAGTGAACAACAAACAATAAATAGAGTTAAATCTCAATTCTTTACATCCTAACATTAGATTTTCCTCTTCACATTATGCAAATCTACAAGATACAGCAATTAAGAAACGTCACAAACAATTTTATTTGTCCATCTATCAACCGGCATCAATAAATAATCTTTATATCTGTGTTTGATTGCGTCATAAAGATGAAGCATTTATACAAGCAATTCTGTGGTACCCACATCAAAAATAAAACACATTCAAATGCACTCAAATACAAAACACAAAATGGAATGGGGTGTGGTGGACGTCATCAGTCCAATCGGATCTTCTGATTGGTCATCCTGTAGATGATGCTGTCATATCCGGGATCCATGTTCCAGAGGTTGTACGAGATCACGATGACGGCTAAAGCCAACACGATCATCAGCCACAGGACAATGTTAAAGACCACAGCGTAATCATAGTCGTACTTGTAGGCCAGGTTGTAGAGGCTGCCTTGATTACTCTGAAACAACCACACGCTAGCGTTACATGAAGTTCAACGTTCAAAAGTAGGTCAGCGAAGGGGGTTTCTACTGTACTGTAACAGTCTTCTTGTTTTAGAACAAAACAAACAGGTTATGGGTTGGAAAGGTGAGGGTCGCTAAGATAAAACTATACGCTACTATTTGCTAACCAGCTACTAAAGCTTACGCAATTTATGTTAAATGTCTTACAGAAGTGGTCTTGAAACGATTCTTTCTTCTCGTACCGTGACGAATAAGAATAACGCTGAAAATGTGGACCTGATCCAATATTACTATTTTTTTCTATGTAGAAATGTTTGCTTTTAGAAAAGCTTATTGCAGTTAACTTACGATCTGAAGGATGGAGCGTGACTTCCTGGTCAGAGGGGCTTCAAATGTCTTCACCGTCACCACTTCTACAACCGCGTTGTTTGCATAGACATTGGCGACATTGTCTGCGAACTTTGTACACGTACAAACAAACAGATTTTAATGTAAAAGTACTAAAAACAGCAGTACTATTGTATTATTTATTACTATAATAATAGTAGTACTGTATTAGTACTAAATAATAATAGTACTGTATTATTTAGTACTAATAATATTATTATTATTATTTTTGTAATGTATTATTTAGTACTACTAGGCCAAAAAAACAAACACATTTTATATCTGGAACCAAGCAGAGAAATATATATGAAAATGTAATTAATGAATAATTAAATTTAATGAACAATAATGATCTTATGTTCATGACAAAACAATAAAAGAGAAATTTGCAGATATCTAAATAACCTAAAAGTTGTCGTATTAGGGGCTAAAAGTCAAGCTTTTAAATGTTTTGTCTTAATTTATTTTAACTTGCTATATTAACAGTTTTACACAGTAAAAGTGTGCCATTTTTCAGCTTAAAATAAGTAAAGATAATAAAGCATAATTCCTTTTTTTGCCTAAAAATGCCTTAATGCAAAAATAAATATAAAAATCTTAATTGTCCTTGTCCTAAGGCTTAACGACAAAAAACTACTAGTCTTCCTCATTTCTAGCAGAACATTTTAGCAACTTCCATGTTCCATTTAAAAAAATTAATAACTTTTGCTTGCGATTCTGTAATTATTGTCATATCTATTGTGATAATTTACAATACACTACTATCTATTATACAATATGAACACATTATCAAACTGTATTTACATTAATGTTACACTGTAATGTATTTAAAAAAAAATTAAAACTACAGTAAAATTAATGTACTTTGTTGCATTAGAGACCATTGTGTCAGTAAACAAGAAAGAGGCCAGCACAGCAGTGTTATCTTAGTATCACTGATATCACTAATATTTAGAATTAGTTTTTATTTTTATATTTCCAGTTTGGTTTTAATTTTAGTTTAGTTTAGTAACTACCAACTACCATTTTTATTAGTTCTTAGTTTTGTTTTTTATTTCAGTTAAAATTTATTTCAAATAATAGAAAAGTTAATGTTTTAGTAAACTATAATAATGCAGCACAGTCTCCATACCTTCTGCAGAGCGGACGTCAGGATCCTGGTAGCGTCGGCGAACTGAGGAGAGTCTGTGCCATAACGACGGACGATTTCCTCCAACCCCGCCAGCTCTAGAGAGTACAGGTCAGGAGCCGGGTCTTTAGCCAGATGCTTGTGTTTCTGCAACTGCAGCAAACAGAAAGAAATACTTCAATAACACAGAATCAATAGAGTAAATTATCAGTGAAAAAGGACAATTCACTTTGTTTTAAAAAGTTGCCACAGTAATTTAATTTAATCAACAAAAAAAAACATTAAGAAAAAACACATTTTATATATTTAGGAACTTTATGAGACTAAAAAGCAGATGCAAACATTGAGGCTAGATTAAAAATAAAAGGATTTTAAACTAGAAAACAAAAATCAACCTATAAAATCTCGCACGGCTGATTTATATGGGACAAACTGTCATAAAGTGTATGGGCTCAGAGCAGACAGAGAAACTCACCAGAGCTGAGATGTCATACAGCACCTGCACCTCAGACAGGAACAGAAGATCAGCCTGAAAAACACAGACCACCACATAAACACATTAAAACCGGTATATTTAGATCAACGCCTAGTTTAGGGTGGGAAACAAAAACCAACATGTATCTATCTACTGAACGATGGTTTCTATCTGTAACAACTACTTTCACATGTTGATATTTTAAGGCAGAAGCCACTTCCTACTATGACCGAAAAACTGCTACAGAAACTGTTACAAGTCCATGTCTGTACAAAGTGTGTGAATACTGTAAACACTAATAAATGATAGATAGATAGGCAGATAGATAGATAGATAGATAGATAGATAGAGGGGTGCAGGATCGGGAAAGATCCTCGAGCTGGGATTCGAACTTGGGACGCCCGTAGTGCAATGATGCTATATGTCAGCACGCTGCCCACAAGGCTATCAGTGCCGACAGATAAATACATTTTTTATTAGTTATTTGACATCTATGGACAAAGTAGATCTCAACACCATGAGTCTTCACCTCATTATTACGGCTGAGAGAGATGAGAGGAAGGGAGGTGAGGACAGATCCGTCCTGGGACAGACGTCCACGGATCTGTTGCAGGGTCACGGGCAGGTCCTCAAAAACAGTGTTGGCCATTCCCATCATATACAGCCTCTGAAACACACAATCAAGACATTTCTTAATATTAGACGCTAGGGATGCTCCGATCGATCGGCCAGAGATCGGTATCGGCCGATAATCATACTGGAAAATCCGTCATAAATAAATAAATGTAAGGGAAACACATCCCACAGCACAACCACCTGAGCCCAACTTCAGTCTACTCATCAAATAATTTGGCGCCGCAGTCATGTCATCGCCGGTGTGGCAATGCTATAACGTTTCGAGAAACAATGAAAAATTCGCTGTTTGTCGTGTATGTTTTGCATGATTCATCTACACAGCAGATTCAGTGACGTTAGAGCTGATCTGCGCCTCACTGCACGCGTCTGCGGCGTTACGGCTCCACGGCCACCGGACACATATTAAATGAACGTTCTGGGTTCAATACATGTTCCATTAACATCATCTATGACTTTGTGAGAATTTCACCAAAAGACAAACAATTTAGACTTGTCTCTCAGTTTGTTCAAGAAAAAATTTATTTACTTTACTAATTATAAAGAACATAATTGAAACTATTTTTGAATTACCATAATAACAGCAAGTCTTTTATTTTTAGTGCTGTATCAGCACATACAACAATTAAAAAAAAAGACACATAAGACAAATAATAAGACAAAAGAACAATAATTTAAAACATAATTAGACAACTCTTTTTTTATATAAAAACTACAAACATTTAACTTAACACTGGATAAAAATGCTAATTTTCCAGTATTAAAAAAACAAGTCAGTCCAATTAAATATTCTTTACAGTAGGTCTCATTTTAACTTTGCATTTTATTGCATCAGATTTTAAGCATCTCACGTGCATCTTTATCTGCAGAGCACTTTGTGTGTTTGCAGGCATCACTTATGTGGTTAGTGAGTCGTAATGTGCCAGAGATTCGCTGAGGTCATACCTCCTCACTGGGGGCGAGCTGCAAGACCACAGGGGTGCTGCCGGCAAACAGAGTGTGCACCGTGTTTGCCACACTGTCCAGAGTGAACGGAACCGGCTGAAACCAGACAGACAGAGACAGATAGATAGACAAAGTAGTGCCATCAGTCTCATGATACAAAATAAGGGAAGTCTAGCAGGGAAACTACACGGCTACTCAATCTTGAAATATCCTTATTTCCTGGAACTTACAAATTAGCTGTTGAAACTTTTTTTCAGGGTCTACAGGGACTTATTTAACTTTACTCATTCATTTAAAGGTTAAAGTGACAACCTACACGTTGAATCAAAGACATAAAAGCAAGAAAGAGTGTGAGACAAAAACCAGCTTTTGCATTCATGCACCACAGAACCTAAAATAACTTGTGCGTAAGAATGCATTACTCACGTTTTCAAGAGGGTAAGAGGAAATGTTTTTCGGAAAGTCGAGGCTATCCAAGCCACGCACGACGATCAGAGCGTTTGCACGCGG